AGTCAACATTTGGCCATATTAGAGGCTGATGTTTAGAGCCTGATAGGAATGCCTTCTTCCTTAGGTTAAAATAAAGCTATGTATCCACAGGGGAAGAAGCAAACAGGGGAGAATGTGATTGGATGTATAGCTGTCTTGTAAGTTACAACCCAATTCTCTGAGAAATTTAAGGCAGTGGTCCTTACCTTACAAATCTTTGTGAAGCTAGAAATATGACGCCAGAAATAAACCTGTCTTTTTGCCAATCCAAAAACCTTCCCCTCTTTATCTCAAAAGCCTTGTGAGAATTGTCCTCAGGAAACCAAAGTCCCAAAGTCCTTCTTAGAGAAACTTAGCTGTATCTTTGTGCAAACTTTAGGAAGAGATTTCTCATCAGAAAAAAGAGAGAGAGGGAGAATTTAGAAATTGAAAATTCCTCTCCACAAATAATAGTAGCCATGAGGTTTCTGTTTGCATATGTATTTTTATATGTATGTGTTGTACATGTGTGAGATTTTTCAACATCCAGATGTTATTACTAAAATTAATTTTTAAAAGATCTGTTTAGTTGAAGGCAAGCATTTGCAAAGATTGGCTATTCAAAAACTCTCAGAAATATAAAAACTAAAACTAAAGCTTTTCAAGTTCACATGCCTGATGTCTCATGAAGGTTTTATAGGTAATCTAAATATAATTAAGAACAAGTAAATTGAATAGATATAAGCAAGATACTGGTTTATAAATGAGCTTTGCAGTACTTACTTTTATAACTTACAGTTAATTGGACATAACTAAGATAAACCAAAGATAAATTCGGATCTGTTGGCAGACATGTTTTGTACTTTATTGAAAGATAGTACTAGGAAGTATATATTTCTATAAATTATGGCATGTATTTATAAATTTGCCAATCTAAAGAATGCTGGTGTAACAGTTTATACTTACCTACCAGTTCATTTTAGTAGAAATTAAGGTTTATAAAAGGTAAGAATTTTAATAAGGGTAATTAATGCTACTAGATATATAAGAGAAACATCTATGTATGCAAGAAAAATAGGATATGAACTTTTGGTAAAAAATTAATTATGGGAAATGGAAATGCATTATTATTGAGGGTAAAGAAAAAGTAATTTTTCCTTAAAGTGAAGCTGGTTTTTTAAAGAGGAAAAACATAAGACAAAATCTGAATGTAAAAAAAGAAAGTTTGTGGAAGTTTCATGGAAAAGGAATCTTAGAAAAGGAATTTTAATGTGTGGTCAAGCTGGCTAAGGTACACAGTTTCAACATTAAAATTTGGTTTTCTCTCTGTAAAAGGACGAAGTTTTCTTGTACTATTGGTCTGCTTTTTATAATAAGAAATAAAGGATTTTTCTTTGTCCTTAACTGCCCCCAAAACAAAATCCTGTGTTTTATCAAAGTAATTTTCTGTGCTTCATGATATCTTCATGATCAGGTCTTTGATTACTTAAGAAAACCAAATTTTCTTAATACTAAAAGAACTAAATTTTGCTCCAAATATGTAGTCATCTGTATTTGCCTTTAAAATCTTTTCATATGGTAGGTGTTTACCTTTTTAAGAATCTGCCAAAGTGTTTTCCAAAATGAGTGGACCCTTTACATCCCCAGTGTTATGTAGTTATGTATGAGAGTCCAATTGCTCAATATTGTTATTATTCTCTCTGATGATATCTTCTTTTTATTAGGGGTTATTCATAACATTTATAGTTAATGTTGTTGATATGGTTAGATTTAAGTATGTTATGTTGCTAATTGTTTTCTATTTGTGTTTTCTGTTATTTGTTCCCTTTTCCTCCTTTTTATTTTGGATTAGTACTTTTTTATAATATCGCTTTATCTCCCTTTTCTTAGTTTATTAGCTCATGCCATTATTCATTGCTTTACCACTTATGGCAAACCTTTAACTTATCACAGTTTTGTTCTAATAATATTATATGATGCCACTTCACTTGCAGTGTTAGAGTCTTACAGTAGTATAATTCCATTTCCCCTCTGATGCTCTGGTCTATTGCCATCTGTCTCCTTTTGAGTATGTTATAAAGCACAATTCTGTGTTGTTATTTTTACTTTAAACAGGTAATTGTGTAAACACATTAAATAATAAAGAAAAAAACCTTATATAGTTACCCAAATATTTGCTATTTCCAGTGGCCTTTTTTATTTTGTGCAAATCCATATTTTCATCTGGTACTATTTTCTTTTCACTTTAAGGAATATTTAATGTTTCTTTAACATTTCTTGTACTGTGTGTCAGAACACAGCCCCCTCCATGTAGAATACTGTAATAAATAAATAAAGTACTGAGGTGTGATGAACTGGTTGGTATCCATAGCGCAAAGTGCACTTAGCAGGAAGCCTTACCACCACACACAAACTGTGTCACTAGTCACAAGGGGTGTGGTACAGGATTAATGAAAATTCATTCTATCCTCTAAGAAGCCCAAGACATGTGTCTTCTAAGGATAAATTTATTGTGCTATGATTGCATATGAAGCAAATTCATAATTAAGCATATCGTTACTGATGTATTTGGGAGACAGGATGAGGTAAATGAAGGAGGGTGCACTCAGTTACTAATCAGTTAGAATGGGTTCCAGTTTCATGAGTGTCACTGACTAGCAGTACATCAGGCAGGTCACTTAACCTCTCCGAGCCTATTATATCGACCAAAAAGTGAAGGTATTGTATTAAGTGATTTCTAATAATACTGCTACTTCTAAAAATGGCTGTTAGATGATATTCTAATTTTAGAAAATTCCAATAAGATTTATTTCAGAGTACAGTAATCCTTTGAATAGCATTTCTACAGTAAGAAAAATGCATCACAAATGGGCCTGCAGTTTAACTGAATCAAGGCTAAAATAAGACATTTTTAATAGACAGTATTATGACAGCATTCACTGCCATGTGCTCGGCCCCACGGTAGATCAAGCTAGTGTTAGAGAATGGTGAGTAAGTGCTGCAGAGATTCCTCTTTTGGAGCAAGAGGGGATATTCCCAGAGTATGGTTTCCATAGGTCATCAATGCAGCAGGTGGTGGACTCTAACCCCACAGGCTTACATGGGCAGATTTTTAGGACCTTATTGGGGCAACATTTATATGCCATAAAATTTGCCAATTTTAAGTGTACAGTTCAATGACTTTTTAACAAATTACAGAGTTATGTGACCATCACCACAATCCAATTTCCATCATCTCAAAAATATCCCTTATATTCATTTGTAGTCAATCATTTTTCCAACTATCATTCCCAGACAAAGAGTAAATCTTTTTTTTGTCTATATAAGTTTACCTTTCCTGGAAATTTCATAGGAATGGAATTGTAAAAATCTGGTCCTTTCATCTATCAAATGGTGTTTGAGGTGCATCCATGTTGTAGCATGTTTGTTCTTTTAATTTCCAAATAATATTCCTTTGTATGGGCAAATCACATTTTATCTCTTCACCTATTGATGGACATTGAGTTTACTTTCACTTTGGAACTGTTGTGAATAATGCTGCAATGAACACTTGTATCACATCTTATGTTTTCATTTCTCCTGAATGTATGCCTAGCCATTGAATCACTGGGTCGTGTGGGTTAAGCTCTACAATTAATTTAAAAAAAAAAAACTGCCAAACTGTTTTCCAGAGTGGCTACAATATATGACATTCCCATCAACAATGTATGCAGGTTCACAGTTCACATCCATGCCAGTGCCTGCTATGGTCTGTCATTTTTGAATGTATCAATAGGCATTGATGGGCAGTGAGCACAGTATAAATTGGGTCATCTCTTCCTGTCAGAAGACCCTATCTCTAATTGACAATGGAATTTTGGGTCAGTAGCCACTAAAACAGTTGTTTTCTGGACTAGATTCTTCCTTTTAGTCCTACTAAGTTATCCTACTCAGTTGCATGGTGGGCTCTATGTTGTTCTCTTTCATTATCAAGATAACTCAAAGCAAAGTTCTAAAACAATGTACCCTTCCATACTAAATAGTACATTTTATTGCCAAAATGCCACTCACTTTGTAGCTAATGAGTAGGCCTCAGAGTAGAATACATTTGAACAATGTATTCCAGAAAATGTTCAAAGATATTTTTTTATTCACCTATCTTTCACTTTGGAACTGTTGTGAATAATGCTGCAATGAACACTTGTATCACATCTTATGTTTTCATTTCTCCTGAATGTATGCCTAGCCATTGAATCACTGGGTCGTGTGGGTTAAGCTCTACAATTAATTTAAAAAAAAAAAACTGCCAAACTGTTTTCCAGAGTGGCTACAATATATGACATTCCCATCAACAATGTATGCAGGTTCACAGTTCACATCCATGCCAGTGCCTGCTATGGTCTGTCATTTTTGAATGTATCAATAGGCATTGATGGGCAGTGAGCACAGTATAAATTGGGTCATCTCTTCCTGTCAGAAGACCCTATCTCTAATTGACAATGGAATTTTGGGTCAGTAGCCACTAAAACAGTTGTTTTCTGGACTAGATTCTTCCTTTTAGTCCTACTAAGTTATCCTACTCAGTTGCATGGTGGGCTCTATGTTGTTCTCTTTCATTATCAAGATAACTCAAAGCAAAGTTCTAAAACAATGTACCCTTCCATACTAAATAGTACATTTTATTGCCAAAATGCCACTCACTTTGTAGCTAATGAGTAGGCCTCAGAGTAGAATACATTTGAACAATGTATTCCAGAAAATGTTCAAAGATATTTTTTTATTCACCTATCATTCTACTCATGAAAAAGTACTTTTCAGGCAAGGAAAGTCTTGTGTACTTTATTTAGGAAAAAAATCTAAATCATTTTCCTCTATAGTGAGTTTAAAGGATCTCTTAAGTCTTTGTACAAGTGTAAGATATAAAAAATAAAATATAATGTGCACTGTAATTTTTAGAAGCTGAATTTTTTACCTTAGTAAAATTTTGCTGAATGAATCTGCCCTAAGAGTAAATTTCTTTTCAGGGGACTAAAGTGATACAAAATAATGACTTAGTGTTATAATAAAGTTTTGTCAATTTTATTAAAAGCAGATTCCATTTCTTCACATAGTTAAGTAAGTTTCATTTTTTTTTTAAAAAGCCCATTTTATTGTATTATTTAATAAGGGTAAGCTGGCTCAGTGAGACCATCACTGATAAAAATACACAAAGTTAGCACCACATGTTCATAAATGCAGTAGCCACAATGACCTTTCCAATATGTACAAACTCCCCATACTCATACACACACATATTTACAGCTAATAAATAACACTTAAAGCCAAAGCAATATTGATATATATAGTGAAGTCTGTAGAAGCCAGAGTTCCCCAGGGCCATCCTCTGATTTGATGAACATTTTCTAAAGTTTATGCACCCTTGCTGAAAACCCAAATCCAGAAAATTGATGAATTAGCAAAAAAGGGGGATGACAACAACAAATCGCACAACATTTTATTTTTAGAGAGAATCCATTCCAAGCTGGCTGATATCAGGCACAATGTGTGTCCTACTTTTTCTAGGCAGAGCCAAATTTCTCAGATGAAGGGCTGAAATTCTGGCACCTCTGGAACAACTGCTACTCTAATGTGTTCCAATACATCTCTTGAGTGTTTACCTTCCAAGCCACACTGAATAATAAGCATGCGGGGCTTTATGTGTGAGTTTATGTTCAGATAACCACACATGTTCACAGTCTAAATTCCCAGCAGTAGCCTCTGAGACATTTGACTTCTTTACCAATTTATATCAATATATAGAAAAGCATTCTGGAAATATGAGATCGAGTTTATAAATAGTTGTTCACGCACTCTTGACTAGTTGTTAAAAACAACTCTCATGGCATTTCAGGTGGCTATAGTAATTGAAGTTTCTTTTAATCATCCACAATGGTTTTAAGCACTATTTAGGAATATATCCCAGTAACTTTTCCATTTATTTACTTAGTAAAAGTGGTCCTTGTCTAAGATGTGTCTTTGCATGATGTAAAATTTGACCTCAAACAAATATTTTCTTACTGAAACCAGGGAAGGAAGAGATGCTCAAAGTATGACTAAGGTAAACTTAAAATTGAACAGTAACTATGAGAATAACAGGCTCACTTTAAATGCTTACTCAGAGAAATGTAATCTTGGGACAAAGCCAGAAAAAGAGGGGAGAGGTTAAACAATAAACTGAAAAGCCCATTAAGACTTCATTGATCTAAATTTTATATCTCCTGTAATTCATAACTTAGCTATGATGCAACCAACTGCAGGGAGTGTTTAAAGGTTTAGTGCTTTATCAACTACATTTTCCATTCACCTTTCCAAGTCACTAACTAGTTCCTTGTTAATGTCTGGGCTACATCTCAATGGTAAGAGGAGAACCATTTCAAAAAAGTTAGATGTTTTAATCAGTAAGTAAATGGGTCTACTCATGCCACAAAATATCATCTTTTATATTCAGACTTGGAGAAAATTTTGAGGTGTCAGTCCAGAAAATGCAGAATTCCTATTAAAATATGAAGCTCTACTGAGTCTTAGGTTATAGCTAAACTCACTATGTAAGGAAGCCTTATTATTTTACCATGGGCCCAAGAAATTCTCATTTCTTTCTCAAAGGACAATATGGAGTGCCTTTCAGATCTGCTATCTTTTAATGTTAGAAGACATGCTTTTGGGCCACTATACTCCTCAAATTGAATTAGCCAGTTTTTGGGTTTTGAGACTGTCTCCTAAAATAACGAGCAAGGATAGAGCTGGGATTAATACTCAAGAAAATCCATTTAACCACCCAAAGCACTGGGCGCCTCTTGTAAAAGTTGCTTCATTCTTCACTGAATTCATGTGCTGCTCCTCCTTCTGTAGATTTGCCCAGTTCTGAGAAAAAGCAGAAGAAGGGCAATTTATTTATCTGCTTAGTGTTTTAACAACCCTCCCCCCTTCCCCACCACCTTCATGATGAAAAAGTATTCACCTGGCAGTTCAAAGCAAAGGTTGTGAGAATGAACCCAGGGGACATGTGGCTAACGGAGCAGGGGTATTGGCAGGCTCATAGGAGTGGAAGACACTCTAAGAGCGACTCAGCCATGTCCCAGTTAAGAAGGATCGATTTCAGAGGACTGATCCAGATGATTTCAAAGTTTAGGAAGATTTCTTACTTCTAAAATTTGTCAAATGAAATGCCTGTTTCTGTGTCTGTGTGCATGTGTGATATGAGACTGCTAAAGAGTCTCAGAAGATGAGAGAAAGAGTGCTTTTATTTGGTTATTAATTTAGTTACAGAGATAACAGAGGTTGTTATAGGTTATACCTGCTTCATAGGTATCTCCTGGATAAACTTCAGATGCATACAAAGAGCTGCCTAAATATCTATTGTCTCAGTAATCCTATTATCAGATGAGGTATGTATAATTAGACTTCCTTAGATAAATGCTTGTAACTTATATAAATAAATAATATGATCAGAAGTACTTTAGAAACAAAATCCTAATTTGGGGAGCTCTGTTTTTACATTCACATGTAAGTTTGAAGTTTGGATTCTGGATGATTGTGGTGCTATAAATGCACATCTAAAACCTCATGTAGAAGTCTCATTCTAGAAGGTCTCATTCTAAAAGTTAAAGCAAATGTGATATTGCCTCAGATTTGTGACAGGGAAAAAGAAAGCAATAACCTCCAGAGTAGAGCAGTCTTCACTTAGATAAGAATTCAGTTATTCTGCCTGGCTTAACACCAGTAACTATGCTCCATTTCAACTTTATCTTGAGTGCCCTTACATTCATGTTTTAATCCAGACGGCTTCATCTTATCACTCATAATTTTAATTTTTTAATGAAAAAATATATAAACATTATATATATTTAGAGATAGTCTGAAAGGATATAAATTAAAATGTTAATTGGAGGTTGTCCTAGGAGAGTCACAGTGATTTTGTTTTTCTTTTTGCCTGTGTTTCCTAACGTATCCATTACCCATAATTCTCCATGGGTAAATTATAAAATAGAAATTAAAAATAATAGAGATATTCCACGTTGGGTGTCTAATATGTTCCCTCTGATTAGGCAAGTCTAAGTCTGTACTTTGGTCTATAAATCTAACTAGGAGAAAATAAACTAAAAACAATTGCTTTTTCTATTTCCAGATGACATTGTGACGAGCCTTTCCCATCATTTCTGGTGTCACTGAAGCGAGCTGAGCTGCCCCCCTTTGCATGTGTGACCTGTTAGCACTTGGCATCTAGTAGAGGAATGAGCGGAGGAATCAAAGTGGCATAATGTGGGAATTCAGGAGGGGACAGAGAAGGTCACATGCTTGGTCTCCACTCAGTACTGACGTTTTGGAAAGATTCAGCTGCCAGCTGCCATGTGGATTAGCATTAAAGGTCGGGAGGAAGGAGCCTGGGAACTGTTTTGAGATGGGAAAGAGAGTCACTTCCTACATCCCAACCTCTTCAGTCCCCCATCTGCAGGGTTTGAGCTGGATGCTCGGGAGCGCCCCTTCTGGCTCTCTGTCCTGCGTCTGCCGGTGCTTGGAGAGTCAAGGATTGGGTGGCTGCAGCTGATGCTTCACTCCCCTGGGCAAACACTGGGAGGAGCTGCACCCACAGCCACAGTGGCGACTCCTAACGTGCACGCTTTGCACACAAGCTTTGCAAAGGATGCGGGGATGTGGGACAGGAGAGCGTAGAATTGAAGATGGTGCAGTAGTTCAAGAAGTAAAATAAAATCCAGAAAGCACACCTGGGGTGAGGTCAGAGTTGGCAGGAAGCAAAAAGAGGAGTTGCTGAAAGCAATGGCCCAGGCTGCTCTGTAAGCAATGGCTAAGACAGCCCACCGGGGCGGGCCTGCTCACTAGCCAGTGCTACAGTCCCTGCAGCTACAGGGACAGTGGGGAGGACGGCACTGCGTGAAGCAGCATCGCTCAGGAAGCGAGCTCAGGGCACCCGGACAGCCTTGCTCACCAGCCAGACTTTTTACTCAGGGACTTATCGTGGCATTTCACAAACACCGCCGACGACTTTCCTTTCTTTAGATGAGACACTTTCTCCCTGGAGCAGAAGATCACCCTGTGGAAGAAAGTGGATATGAATAAGCCATACGGAGCAACAAAAACAGCTGTTCTTCAAACAGGGGTCAGGGCTGTTTACATCCTATATGTATCTGATGAATCATTTTGACATTTCCAATTATTAACTGTATACACTCAGGCCATCTGGTCAGCAATTCATCTGAATCAGAGAGTTATTTGGGGGCCTAACCACTGTTTAGCAATAAAGGTAGTTACCGATCTAGACAGGCATAGAGACAGCCGAGAGCAGCCTTAAAATCACAACACTTTTGGCAAGAGGTGACACAAGATCAGCTTCACCTCCTCTTTGCGTCTGCATTAGGGAATTTGCAAGCCAGACTTCAATTGGCCTTGCTGGAGAGACAAATGCTGCATGGCCTCTCCACTCACAACCTTTCTCTTTCTATTCCCCTTCCTCCCTTCTCTCTCTCTCTTTCCTTTTTTGATTATAAAAGAAAATGACAGAGAAAGAGAAAAGTATACGTCAATCCTAATTTAAAAAGTCATCTTTATTATCAAAAATGGCATACTATAGTTTGCAAAGTCCCCATACATTTAGCATAAATGATTTAAATCCTATGGGACTCTATATGCTGTGCATTTAATAGATTTACGTGGGGTGGACTGGGGAGACAGGACGGGATGATCCCGGAGTCTCATCCTTCTTGAAGGGGTTGGTTTGAATCTTTGAATGTCAAAGTAACATGTCCAGGTTCTTTCCGTAAGTGTTTTGTGCTTGTAAGAAACAGCTGTAAGTGAGAAGCGGGGGCTCCGACTCCTGATTCAGCTCTCACTCAATAACTGTGACCAATTCAGGGCTGGTGTTTTTTTCATGAAATGCAGAACTCCTCTTACTTCTCTAGTATGATAATAAAAGAACAACCCTCCGCCCTAAGTTATAGGTGTAATTATCTAGGAAATACAGTTTTAGAGACAACACTTATGAAAGTTTCATCTGACTGTTGAAGGCTCCAGAAATACGACCCCAAGATAATAACATGAAAGTGAGTCTAAACTGAATGGAAAAACATAAATTTCATTACTTTTTTTGAGTCTCTCCTGCCTTCACTCTGATCTTCTCAATGGCAAAGCTGGGGCTGCCCCACCAGTCCGACCAGCTGAAGTACGAATCGGTCTTCCACTTGAGTTTGAGCATTAGCAGCTCCCCAATATCCACTTCCGTGTAAATTAGAAATGAGTATGTCTTATTTGTGGAAACTTCAGGCCTGAATAAAGAATCAACATATTTGGTTAGTTCTGAAAATCAGGCTTTTTCCCCCTTTTCCTTCCTTCCAGATGTAAATAGCCTTATTGTTTGAGGGATATTTAAAAAATGCGAAAAAAAATGTCCAACAAAATGCTCAGGCTGAATGCCAATGGCATTTGGTGTCTTTTAAAAGACCTACACCCCTTTACTCTATTCCAACTTTGAGCCTAACAATACAGACTATTTAATACAATTCTTCAGAGAAAAAGACCCATAGGTCATTCAGAGACATAATTTTTATGTTCATATATTCCATTTCGATTTGTATTTTGTGAACATGCTTACTTTGTTAGTCAGAGCGCATATACAATTCTCCACCCTTCCATTGTTCACTTCATACTTTACCTTCCACCTTTTGCCATCTTTCATCTGGTATTCTACGATTATAGTTTTTAGAGGCTAGATTGATTCTATTGACTTGTTAAGCCACAATTCACTTAACCATTGCCTCAACATCAGGCACTTGCTTCGTTTCTAATTTGCGCTGTTTTATGTACTACTGTCGTGCACATCTTTTGACATACAACTCTTAAAAATATTTCTGCTGCGTATTTATTTCTCTAGAGGTCCTACTTTTCTTCTGTTGCTCAGATCGATGGCCATGGCAGGGGGCGATGCCGTGATAGACCCCCGGCTAGGAGCAATGTCATGTGGCTACTCACAGGGTGAAAGGGATGTTCTCGCTTTCGGCCACAGTGCCATACAGAGAGATCTCGAAGTCCTGGTTGGTCTGTGTATCACTCTCAGTCCCAGAGAAATGTATCTTTACTTGGTAATGGAAGACTAGATGGGGAAAATTGGAACAAGAGATCATCACTCTTTATGGAAACACCACAGGCCTCCAAATAAGCAGGCAATTCAGAATCACCAACCGCATCTCCCTAGTGATTGAACAGGTGCGCATGTATGATTCTCAGGGCCACTTGGTAAGATTTCTTCGTGTCTGTACAGTGTTCACTACTAGAAAATTTAGACCTTGAATTCTATGCCCTTCCAGAAAAGTGTGGTTGTAGTGGAAAGGAAAAATCCAGGCGTGTTTGAATTGCCAAGCAGTCCTAGAAAACAGTCATCTTTGATGGGGTGCTAGGGAGAGCCAATCAAGAGGACACAATACCCGTGGTGCCTTCTCATGACCTCCACCCTTCCTTGGCCTTCTTGTCTCTTAGCATCTGCACCACGTATATCTGGTATTTGTTACTGTGTCACTGTCTGTGACCACATTTCTCCATGTTTCATGGGTATGTCTGTCTCCCAACCCAGGGTGTAAGCTCCCTCAGGTCAGAGGATCATGGTCACTGTCTTGATTGCCTCATAGTCTAGCACAGAGCAACTATACTGCAGGCTCACAATAAAGTTCATTTCACTGAATCATCATTGAGGCCATAAGGGCTGCCAGTTCCTAGTGCGTTCTGTGTTAGGGGGCGCTTCTGGGAGCAACTCCTCCCTGCTCCCCCCTCTCTACCAAAACCTGGAGTAGAAGGGGTGGGGACGAGGTTAAGGGGACAGGAAAGGCAGCAGGCTGAGGCACAGTTACTAACAGGTGCAGAGAAATAGAGTTTGGAATTAAATGGAGATCTGGCAGGCATCCCCACAGCCCAGGGCAGGAGAAGCCAAGACCACCACAGTGCCCCCCAGAACACCAGTGGCATGCTGGGTGGCATTGAGAAGGAAGGCTGGTGATGTGTGAGCCCTGCCTGGGCCCTCAGAAGGTTGCCATCTCCCCTCAGCCTCACGTGCCCATCCTTGTACATGTGGTACAACATCTTACAAATTCTTTCCCCTATCAGAGGTATTTTACCCCAGGAAATTGTCTTTAATATCATCCCTTCCCTCAGACTTCCACCTGACTCCATATAAGCCAGCCTTTCTGATTTTAGTCCCTCTCACTAGGTTTAGATGATTCAGGCTTATCTGCTTCAATGCCTATAGATCTTACTCTAAATAAGCTTCCAAGTTTGACATTCAACTGTGAACAAATTCATGATAAAATCAAAATTTTAGAAGGTTTGGTGTATTCTCCTCTTCTGTGAATAGTATTATTTTAAAATATAGGTGGTTCTTACTGCCACTTAAAGCAAACTTCAGGAATTGGTAAACCTTTCTTGTAAAGGGCCAAAGAGTATATATGTTAGGCTTTGTGGGCCATGAAGTCTCTGTCCCAACTACCCAAAAGCAGTTGTCTCTTTGTCAATACAGAGACAAATGTGTGTGCTGTATCCTAAAAAACTTAATTTTCAAAGGGAAGTGATGAGCTTGGTTTGGCCCATGGGCCATATTTGCTGACCCTGGATGGTTAGTTTCAAATTAGCTCTGAGCCTGGTGCTAGTGGGCTGGCTCATGCTGATGGTCACAGTTACAGAGGGTGGAAGCAGGGTGGCTGTATCGGGTAGTGAGAGCTGTGCACTGGGCCTTGCTGGCAGTGAACATGGGGAGTTTCAGTAAAGTGGGTCAGTGTAAACCCCTCTCTACCAACAGGAACATTAGTGAGGGCTCAGGGTTAAGTAACATCATTTCATTATCTCTGTTGCAATGGACAGAACCCATATGTGTGATGTAATAAGGGTAATAAAAAAAAAGCAGGACCAAATAGATTTTCCGGAGTTGCAGCATTTCCAGCCTACCTTTGTAGGGCATCTGGGAACGCGTCTTCAGGTACATCTTGCTGCTTCTTTTGGCTCTGACCTTATTGATCTCGTAGCCCAAGTTGTTACACCGGTTCTTTCTGCAACTCAGGCAGAGCCCTTTCTCGAAGGCTTCCTTTGAATTGCACCGATAGGCCTTGCTTGGGTTTTCTTCATTCAACAGAGAGTCAATGAAGAGGTGAATGGAGCGTTCGTGGGAGCACTTCACCAGCTGGTCCACATCTGGGGGAAAGAGTGGGAAATTTCGCTCTGTGAAAGTCCACAGTGAATTGCATGTCTAAAGGACGTTAGGTGTGGTTTTAAAATAAAACAACCTCAGATTGTAGCCCTATGATTTCTTGACTGTAGGTCCTATTTAAGGAGGTATTTTTGGTGGCTGGATCTCACCTACTGCCAAGAATATCAAAGTTGCAAGTTTACAGAGAATGTTTTACTTTTCTGCTATCTTATATTTGTATGTTTATGAAGTTATAATAAAAGATATCCAAGTTAGAAGTTGATTTCCCCCAGTTTACCTTGTCCTTCTCTTATACTGAAAGCATATACTACTTCTATATGCTCCTAAAACATTCTTCTAGAAACCACATCATAAAAGGCAGAGTTGTTAAGTGAATAGTATCTTACTATAGATGCTATGTAGGATTGAGAGTTGCGTCATTACTAATGACTTTTTACATTAAACGAATGATAGAAATAATCATCAATGTCATGAGTTATTATTACTATGAGCTTAATACCATAAGCTTTTATAATTGTTGAAAATGGAAACATTATGCTTTAAGTTTTATAACACAAAAGACCTGAACTATTGACTACAGGTTGGTTCACAAACTATGACAAGTTGCCTTAAAACAAATCACAAATTTAACACAAACTAACATAATTATTAAAGTAACTATTAAATGAATATTAAATTGTATTTTCTTCTTATAACTTCGGGATATGTATTGTTAGAGAATGGTGTTTTGTTTCTGATTTGTCAAAAAGGCTGACCAAAGAAATTTGGACTAATTAACATGTCCTTTACTTTCAATAAAATTCAAAATACTCTACTTACCTTTATCACTGCAAGTGCAATACTCAGTGTGTAGTATATGATATAATACATAAAATATAAAATGTCTTTTCGTCTAACCACAGGAAGTATTAAGGTCCTAAAGTGATCATGCTGAATATGACCACTTCTTCAGAAACATATCATGGCTAAATGGATATATTAAAACCACATCCTTGTGGAGAATGAGTAGGACACTGAGTCAATAAGAGTTATGAACAAAATTTATGTTTAATTAACTACTAAATCAAATTACCTCCAAGGCCTCTCTCTGCAATCACTCGAATAGCTTCCCCAATGTTACATCCTGGTTGAAAAGTGCCTCCATTAGGATAAATGTCAACGTGCCCTACTGGTTTCTGGATCCCAATACTTCGGCCAGGTGATCCTCTGGTGAACGTGTGTAAGACATCTACAAAATCCGCATCATCGGGAGAAAGGCGACTGGGAGCTTCTGCATACTCAAAGTTAGGTCCGGCTGGATCTAAGCCTTAATAGGGAACAAAAAAGGCTTCTCATGTTACTAATTCCCATTAGTTTTGGGTCCCTAAGAATCCCCTTTATGGTCTATTTCTCATCATTTGACTGTTACTGGCAGCCACATCGATTCTCATGAGCTCTTCTTCTATAGTGACTGGATCCTTAGGTTACTGAGAATCATAAGAGTAGGCTTAGCTCCTTCTAAAATGGAATTTTAGCCTCTTAAACTAGCCATTCAATGCCAATTTTCACTCAGGATGACTTGATTTCCCTTTGTAAATGATTCCTGAACCTGGGGAGAAAGCCTTTAAACAGGAGTGTGATCTTTCTCCCTTTCAGCATGTGCCAGACCATCTCTGACCACTGGTGACTGTCTTCTCTTTTCCAAATGGCGTCTGGTGCTGGTCCTTTTTCATTTTTCCCAGGACTGATATGAGAGGTGACATATGCGCCACACAGCACCAAAGTACGGAGCAGAGGGGAGAGGGAAATGGGCTTCTCAGAGACATTGTTGGGCTCCTGTGTATGACTCCGATCCATATTTCTCTTCTTCTGCCAGTAGTGGCAAGTCCGTGAGAGCAAGGGACTATATTCCGCCCTCCTTACTCTAGCAAAAGAGCCCTCCCGTGAGATGATGAAGAGGCTGGGCAGACCCAGAAGAGCACTGGGCATTTGGCAAACATTCTGATTCTCTTGAAGAATGACAGGCACCTCAACTCTCCTGTGATAAAGACAAATGGCACTGCTTTCTTACCAGTAATTCTATTGACTTTCTTATTGGTCAGACTTCCTGCGATGCCAGCAGCATGGGCCCCAAGGCTGTATCCCAAGAGATGGACATTGTCCAGAGGGTAGTTAAATTCCTCCTTTGGAAGAGAAAAAGAAGAAGGGGTTCTTATTTGATCTGCAAAAGATCAAAGCTAAAACAAATAGAGTATAAGTATTGTTTTCAAAATATAAGCAATATTGACAACTAATTCTATTTGTTTAAATTTTGTGGTATAGATAAGAGAAACACATGTTCTAGTGTTAAGAATGTTTTCTTCCCTTAACAACATGTTTAAATTGGAATGTGTTCCCATACATCTGAAACTAATATGTATGGGAATCTGAATTGCCATACACTTGAAAATATATCTATGCATGGATATGTATATGTGTATGTATACATTTAGATAAAGATATATGCATGTGTATCTACATGTAGAAGCACACACGCCTTTCCCTTCACCCTGAAATAACACACTTTTGTCTGTCGGCTCACTTAGCTCTTGGTCTCAGCAGACCTACTCACTATGAAAACATATCAGAGCGCAGAGCAGGGCAGGCCTAAGCCTTGGCTCTGTGATTTTATCATTCTTATCTTAATGCTGTTTGGGCTAAAAAATTATGCCTACGCTCATTCTGAAGATTTGAATTGCCCCAGAAAAATATCCCTATTTAAGTGAAAAAGAGCTAAGACCAGCTACCTGTCCAGCTCTAGCCAAGAAAACTGCTTGGGACAGACAAGGCTACTTGCCAAGCCTTACCGCCATCCAGTTGATGAACCTGGCCACATCCTTTCCCACCAACTTGGTGTGCCCGGCGGACACCGGGTAATGCTGCTGGGCCCGCAACAGCCAGTCCACCACGATGACGTTGGAGTCTGGTTCTCTCTTGTAGAGGGCGGCCACGAGCTTTGGCACCCAACTCTCATACATTCCAGTCACCTGAAGAGGATGACACAAGCTTTCTCAAAACGTCCACCTATGACTTGTTATAGATATGCCAGCCCAATGCACCTACATTAAATGGAAAAAACAAACTCATAAGAAAGCCCATTGGCTCACAGAGAAAAATCAAACCATGTAAAAGGATGTTCAGAGACTCATTCCTGCCCCTTCTGAGGTGATCTGGAGTATGCCGGGAATGGGGCTGCTGAGCTCAGGAGTACAAACTGGGGCTCACCGCATTGTCCAATTCAAAAGCACATTTTGTGATTCAGTAAAACTCCAGTAACTTATAGTATGAAAAGTAAGATCAATCTGAATAAGTGAAACTTTTTTTTATTATTAAAATTTTTAGTTTAATTCTGTTCAATTAAACGAATAAAGCTTTCCCAACAGAATTATTTTTGGGGGTGTCAATTAACTCTTTTCCTTTAAAAGAGTCAGTTACATATAACATTTGATATGCTAATGAAATATAAACTTTTAAACATATGAATCTATCCTAACAGAAGATAACTGTGTTTAGCAACCTCTGTCTTAACACAGAAGAAAATGATCAGCTTCAACTCAAACATTTTCACAATTCTCTTAAATTCTTAACTAGCAGAGTAGAAATTAATGAGTTTTAATAGTCACATTCCCCAAATTAGTAGATTGGTCCTGCTTGGAGATAGGCAGACTACTAATTATAATTCTTTGCATCTTGTTAATAAAGGCCCAAAAATGCAAAGTCAAAAGAACTTTTTGTTGGTCCTCAAATTAACTCTATTCATGTACAATTTTAGTATATGCTTTTAGAGAAGAGGCATTGGACACCTTGGCAAAGATATACATTTTAAAAAACTGCAGATAGTACAATTCCACACCAAACTGCCAACATGCTATAAGCTTATACATAGCAACAACCTGATTTAAATCACCAAATCTACCCACCCCTAAAATGACCTGAGAGCAGATCTTATTGTAGTTACAGTGAAGGTTACTGAACTATGTACTCAATGGACAAAGAAGATTCTAAAGTCAATGTTTAAGGCAGCTTTTGAGAGGAGATCTGTGAAATCTATATCCTCCTTAGAGATCAGAAAAATAGGAGTCTTGAAGACCAAAAGACGTCACTTGGAACTTTGATCTTATATGGAGGGCTCTTTCAGATTTATTCTTCTGCTTTGTATAGTCTAAAACTATCAAGGCAGGTGCTCTCCCTCCACTCCTGCCACTAAAAAAACCCACAATTTTTCATCATATTGCTGTGCTCTGTCGTTGGAGAAAGCAAGCCAGAGACTCAGGAGACCTTGGTTTCCACCCCAGCTCTTCCACTAACTACTTCTATGACCACAAGCACTGTTTCAACCTTACAGGCCATTCACAGAACAAAGTGGTCAGATTCAGATGGCCCTGAAGTTACCCTCCATCTCATAAATGTCCTCCTGATCTCATAAATGGTTCCCGATCTATTTGCAGGGATAAATGCCAGCTCTGCAGCTCTTCCAAGCATGAAGAGAAATCAAAGATGAAAAGGTACAAAGGTGATGTTATCCCACTAGGAACTTCCTTAAATCTTCTGTGAGCATGTCTCAGTGAGGCTGCTTTGAGTCTGGGTACAACCAGGGTCTTTGAGGGCACCAGCTGGATCAAAACCCTGAGGAATTGCTCCTGCCCCTACCCTTCTCCTGTCTTGGAGGTTGGGGGCTGGCGTCCTTTGCAGCTGCCATTCAGGAGAGGATGATGTCATTTCTCCAGAAGGCAATGTTAATCACTGCTCCTTTCAGCCAGGACTGAGGACCTACAGCGCAATGAGAACTGTGTACTTAACACGGGTCTGTAAAACCCAGCAGGTGGCAAGCCTCCCAGACAGCTGTATCTACCCTGCCATCTGGGATGCACCTTGTGCACACTGCATGCTCCCTATGCACACTGCAGGCTAAGTATTCTTTTGGGTTTCTCACAACAAGCTGCAGAACCCCCACATTCCCTTAGTTTTATGTCCTTGAGTCACTGAGTAGTTCACCTTAGATAATGCAGGAAAATTTTATTTGATTTAAGCCCCTGTTATAAGTTTGTCTGTACAATGTTTCCAAATTAGGCAATCTGTGAAAGGGCAAGTAATCCAATTTGCTCCTACCATAGTGACTGATACTTTTTTTTCCAATTCAATATACAATACTACTGTAAGTAATCCCCAGCAAAGGGAAGGGAAATCTAAGAATCCACCTTCTTCGACTCTGAAAAGGTATTATTTACTAGCTTTTTCTTCAGAGATTCCTCAAATCAGTGCTAGCTTTTAAGACCTTCGATTCTCAGACATGCAGCTGAACTGAGGCCCCCCTCAACACCCACACCAGGTGGGCCAACTGAACCAGCCAGGGAGCTCACTGGGATAAGCGGAAATCAGTTATCCAGCAACGCTGGATTCGTTATTACACAGGTCAACCAGCTCTATCCAGTGAAACTCGGTCCCATGGCCAGCAGCCCAGGGACTGGAGTTGTCAGGACACATGACGTGAAGGTTGCCGTGAGCTTAGAGGACAGGGGGTCAGATGATAGAAACTAGCATTATCTACTTAGGATACTGGGTGAGTTTTGTCATCTTAGAATGAGAAGAAAGCATGTTTTTAAAAAAGTCCCTAAAGTATAAAATTCTCTCAGAGATAAGATTGAGATGTCTGAGGTATTCAATTTATTCTCCTTGTATAAATGCTTACTAAAGCTCAAACTTTTTTCAAGAGTATTAAAAGCCCAGTTCCATATACAAACAAAGCATCTCTGAAATCACCAAAGATTACTTTTTTCTGGTTTAAACCTCTGAAAATACAAACAGATTTATGTTAGGAATTTGAATATGTGGTTCTATCACAAGGTATGTCATTTACTATGTTAACTTTAGTAAATAGATGTATTATATTAAAATAAATATCTCTGAATTGTGTTGGTAGTTGCCTTCATAAAGGTTATAGCAATTGACCTATACTGTCAATAAGGAAGACTCTTAAGTTATGTAGGAAAAGAAATCAGGACTAGAAGCATGTCAGATTTTAGTTAATTCATCTCATTAGAATTTAGTATCTTTTACTATATTCACAAGCTCCTTAACTGTTTCATTTTATATAAGTCAATGAAATCTGCCCACTAGGGATTGCAAATATTAAAATCCAACTAAAGCAGTTAAATAAGAACTGTACCATGTAAAGTGACTGTCTGGCATATTTAGAGATAACTACTTTACTCATATTGTTTAAAAATAAATTTAACCGCAGTTTTCACCTTTTCTAATCATCTCACATGACAGTGCCCTGGCTAGTCCTCTTTCACCTCTAGAGAAGCTCCCTAAAGTTTACAGCTGGAAAATATTGGAAGTGGAGGGCCATTTAGCCCAGCTTCTCCCTCTTACACACCAGAAAGCTGAGGCCCAGAGGTGAGATGTGGCTTGAGTCACATCGCAGAGTTGGAAGAGGGCAAAGCCAGAATGGGAACTGACCACCACTCTCACAGATTGTCTTCCTTAAGGACCTTCGGCATCCATGCACTGCAGGAGTCAGCATCATACCAGGTCTCCACCGATTCTCCAAAAGGACAACCTGCATTCTGCTCTGTAGTTGAGCAAAGCCTTACAGGAATGGCTGGTTTGAGGGCACCAGTTGGGTAGCAAGATGGCAAATGCAGCAAAATGAAGTTTGGCCTGTGGGAAGGAAGTGCTCACGAACCTGTGGCTTTAGATTCCACAATCCCTACCCTAAACCAGAACTTCCTTCCCTCAAGATTAAAGCAAAACCATCAGAAAGCAAGCAGAAGTACAGGGTGTGCAGAGCCATCACTGAGTTCCCAGCAACTTGGACAAGCCGGGCAAGATGCCCAACCGCCCCAATCGGCTCCCTCCCAAAGCCGCCCTTACCGTCCAGCCATGGATCACCACGAAGGTTTTGCTGCTGTGGTTGAAGTGGCAAGCGGCCACCGACTCTGTCACTCCAGGAACGAGGTGGCAAGTGTCCTCCGCTATGTCTTCAGGGGTCCTTAGGGCAAATTTACTTTCAATATCTATAAAATCTCTTCCTTCTGTAATTACTGAAAAGGCAACATTGGACAGTAGGTTAAATGGAGGGTTGCTTGTTTCATTTGCTGGAATGGTATATGTTTTAGGTTCACAAGCAAACACCACCCATGTTATTTTTGTTTCTAAAGTTTTTGTTTGTTTGTTTTTAATGAAAAAGTAACTGAGAGTTAAGCAGCATTAATCACTCCTGTGTCTCGCATCCTCTCCAACTCTCCTGTGGGCAGGGTGTGTGTGGGAGGGGCAGGCATGGCGCCGGGAGGGTGATACAATCTCAAGTGAGTGCACGGCCAGTGTGGAGGGAGCTCCTTGGTTAATTCCATCTTCTCTCAAGACAGAACTGGCCAAGGTTATGCAGCTAACAGTGGGAGGGAGATCCAGGACCTGAACCCAGGTCCCTTGGCTCCAATTCAAAACTCATTCTCCCAGTGAAAAATAGCTCATGGTTTGTATATCACTTCCCCTTCTTTAAATCTCTGATTATGTTAAAGGAATATTTTCCTGAAATATTACACCATGAGGCTCATTTGAGGGAAGGTAGTTTCCTCTTTGCTAGCAAAGTTTTTAAAAATCAGCAATAAGGAAATTCAGAAGCATAAGGAAGCTTTTGCATGCAGTTGTTTCGCCCGCCCATGGCAAGATACATGAGTTTAAGATGTTTTTAAAACTTCATTTAGTGAGTTTTTCAGAAATACCTGTGCTATATATGAGCCACAGTTAATTCTTTTTCCAAATATTTCTTTCCAACTTAATGTTTTACAACCTTTCCTATAAAGTTGAAGCTTAAAAAACTATAGCAGAACTGAATTGGGAAAGAATACACTTCAGTTATTCATAGTTAGTCCCAAAGTGAGCAAGGAGAGAAAGAGACCTTTAGCCTATCTTTTGACTCTCTGGACAATAAATCTAAGTATTGTTGAATCTTCACAGGCTTTCAAGACAGTACATATAACATCATAGTGAACATTTGAAGTAAATTGGTTTGCAGATAAACTCAGACTCTTTTAATTAGCACAGTAAAAAAGGGAAGTTATATTAGAGACAATTAATTTCTTGTCAAGTGAAAGTCAATCTATCCATTGACTCTAAAAAATACAATAACTTGTAGATTTTTAGATTTTCCTATTTAAAGCTTCTGGAAGATAAATAAAAAATGATGTTGCTTAGAAATATTTCTGACTTCTGAATCTAAATTTACCCTCTTTTCATAACTCAAGTTGAAAATCTGTAATTTCAAATACCACTACAAAAGATAGGCAGAAATGAAAATGAATCATAGTACAGTGAAAGTAGAGGCATTCAAGTCAAGCTTGTCATATAATTATCTAAGGACTGGCCAATACTTTCCTTTTTAATTATTTTCTAAAATTCCTTAAGCAATATTTTGGTTGCTTGCTAAGTTACTCATTATATGCAGCAAGTTGATAGTACACATACATAAATGTCTATCACCTAAACATTCTAAGATAATTTATTCAAAAAAGAGACTCTGGTGAACTATTGATATTTAAAGCTTTTATTTTTTATTTCCATAGGTAAAACTGCACTTGAAATCCATTCATCCGTCAAGAATACGCTCTGCCTCCCATTTGAAGATGCAGTCTTTCTTTTCTTTCCTAACCCAGAAAGCACTCTAGTGGTTTTATTATTTATCTGATAGTGGAAAATATTGTAGATTTTTAATCCTATCCTGCTTTCAATGTCCAAGAAGTTCTTTTATTGTTAGAAAGTGCTTCAGAAAACTTAATTACATTGGCTCTGCCCTGTCCTGTATCTCTTCACATCAAACAACTCATGTCTCCTCTCTAACAGTTTCATTCTAGCATGTTTGATTAGCAATCTTTTTAAGGCAGAAATAATCTCAGTTACCTGTCAGATAGATATCGCTCACCACCTATTTGCCAAACTAATGTTTAAGACTATTGCTTTGCACAACTGTAGAGGACACCAATCACTTTTAGTCTATATTTTTCCTAGAATTATGCAACACAGTGGCCCTGGTGTTGCTGGTAGTTTTGAAATAACTATGAGTATTCTTTGAATTTATTAAGGCAGCCTTTGTATATTTCCATGAAAAAAAAAGTGTGTTCAATCCATAGATCCTGTATCAGATTATCTGCATGGCTCAATGAGAGCTTCAATTTCGCACGGCCGACATGTTCTGTTGGGTACATAGTGTGTAAAAAAAAAATAATAGGAAATTCATACATTCTCACACAAATTTGTATTTGGAGACTTTTATTTCATTTCTCAAGGAAATTATTTTTCATTTTAAGTTACAGAAAGCATAATGAAAACCTCAACAGGAAGATAGCACTGCTCTATATGCTATGTGATGTCTTCAATTATTTGTCAGTTCTACATATGTACTCATAAATGTTACTGGCACTTTCCTAGATATTAATGGCTCTGTACTTATCCTTCCAAGTGGATAAGGACCTTTTACCAGGCCCCCTGAGTAAGTAAAGCCACCTTAGAATAGTGAGAACTAAAGGTGCATAGGTGCATTCCTCGTCGATGGCCTCCATCCTGAATTTGGCTTATGGTAGGGATCAGCCCTACCATAGCAATCTGGCCCCATCAGACATGTCCTTTGTAAGCACTAAAGGGAGATTGGGGGGTATCAGGCAAATTACAAGTTAATGCATTCCTTGACTATGTAGTCTTTACCCCTAAATTCCTAAATAGATAGTTAAAAGCCTAAATAAAGACAAGAATTTATCTTAGTGGGGATAATAACTCACAAAGATAAAATTAGGCTGAGAAGTTAAAGCACTTTAAAGGTAAATTTATAGAGGGTACATTCTTATTACTAGATAGGGAACATTGAACATCCCAGGAAAGATACCCTAAAGGCCGTTCACAGTTACAGATGAAAAAGAATAACATTTATATGAAGATTTGAGGTACAAGAGCTCAATTATAATACTGTTCTCTTCGAAGTTTCTACTTCCTCTTTCTTTCTCTCTCTCTCTCTCACACACACATACTCTCCTAAAAGACCTCATCAGTATCTCATCTCCTATGAGTCCATCTCATAGTTATGGACTTAGTCAGCTTCTGCAGAATGCCAAAAAACAAGGTGGATTGGTAAAAATAAAAAATAAAAAAAAGATTGGTGAGGGAATAAAATCAGTGTCATTATCTGTCAGAATTGATTGCTCCTTGCAGATACTCTAGTGCAGACAATGCTCTTGACTTACCTAACAAGCAGATTTACTTTTCATTTTTACAGAAAAAAGGTTTGTAAAAATAGAGGCAGTAACTATATAACTCATTTTATCCTCCTCGAATAAAGCAAGATAGGAGGGCTAAGCTAAAAATATGCTGCCTGAAAGTAAAAATCTTCCATCCTAACTATTCCCCAGTGCCTGACAACTACCTTTCAATACAGCTATTAATCAATCACTCCCTTGCTGAGCTCTGCTGCATTCAAAAGTAGTATGTGCTATTTTGCTATCCTCACCCATCATGTTTAAGTCAGATGTTAGCCTGGAAACCAACTATGGCCAGTCAAATAGAAGTGCAGCTTCCAAGCACTGGCCCATATGCTCAACTCCTGGCTGTCAAGTTTCCTAATGAGGTCAGGCAGAGATGTATCCTTGTGGTGGTTCCAAGAAAAGAGCCTGAAGCAGTGCCTCTTGTCCCTGTGTTTTTCTTAGAAAGAAATCGAGAATAACTAAGTAATCAGAACCCAGAGGAGGTGCTGCTTGCCATTCTTTCACACGTTTCCCTCTGAAATTCTTACACCCCCAGGTGAATTTATACATAGGAGAAATGGGAGAGAAAGTTGCTGTGATGGGGTGTGGAATGGGAGGGAAGGATGAGAGGAATTAATTTCAAGTCTACTTAAAAATATTCTTCCTCGCTGAATGTATTCATAGCCAGGGAAAGCATGTGTAGGTTAAAATACAATTTAAATCATTAATCACTTAAGTGTGCTTTTAAGCCAAAGAGTAAGAATTAGAGGGAAGAGGGAAGAAGGAAGAGAACTCTGGGTCTGATCCAAACTCCTCAATTTCCAGTTGAGGGAGTTAAACCCAGAGAAGTTTAGGGCCATGAACTTGTAAGGGAGCCTAGCAAACACTTCACATCTTTTGTGTTTGTTTTGTGGTAAAAGTTAACATCATGCTGAGTGTACTTCCTGAAGTAAGAATTTGGGTGTGTTCCTACCATATTCTTAGACACTCTCGAGGGGATCATGTCATCACATAATGTTTAAGACTTTTTAACTGATTATCCAGTGTTCTCAAACTGAAATGTCAAGGTACTTTTTTTTTTATCGAATTCAGCTTTGATGTACTCTACGTTTTTGAAAAACCTAGCAAAAAGGTTCTCTGCAACTCAATGCAGAAACAAACCGACTTTCCGTTGCAAAGTCACGAACAACTCTAACTTGAACCACAGCGGACATGCGGCCTGAAAGCAATCCCAACCATGCAGCCCTAACTGCAGTTCCATCCCTGATGAGAAAAGAAAGTGTCGTCTCCTTTTGTGACTTGCTTCTGTTGCCTTTTCAGTTGCTTTTGCACGTTAGCTGAACTGAGGTTCAAGTTGTGCAGGCTGCCTCTATTACGGGCAGGTCTCCGGTGGACGCTGTCCTCCTGCAGCCAAGACGTGAGCCTTTCCCTGACAGTCTTAACCCCCGGCGACCGGAGGCCAGGGCAAACCTGCCAACCCCAAGTTCCCCGGCCCCAGAATGCGGGGCGCTGCGCCACGTTTTCCGGACGGCGCCCACCCTGCACGGTGTGTTCTGGGGACTAAGAAAAGCCGAGTGCAGAAGCTGGAGAGCTGCCCAGCCCCGAGCGCGCGCAGGACGCTGCGTCCCCAGGACTCCGGTTCACTGGCCCCCGCCCCCACCCCCACCCGCACCCCCACCGGGAGCCCGAGTGTCCCGTGCTTCTGCACGCGGCCCGCCCCGGCTGGCCTCTCGGAAAACGGGTCACTTTTGCCCGCGCTGTCACAGGCGGGCGCCGAGCCGCGGCCGCGGCCAAGCCAGGGTCACCTTGGCCCGCGTGCCTTTCATTCCGGGGCCCCCGAGCGGGGAGGTTACTGCCGGGCACCGCCAGCCGGGCCCTTCCTCCCGCCTCCCTCGCCCCGCCCCTCCCTGCCCGCGACCCTGCCCCGCGGAGTCTGGGCTCCCGGCAGCGCGGTCCCAGCCAGAGGGGAGCGGCTCGCGCCGAAACCGGGAGGTGGGGAAGGCGGGCAGCGGGAACTGCCCCGGCGGGGCCGCGGCGGAAACCCACCGGGTGACCCTTCTCGGGCCTGCGCGGGGGCGAGGACGGACCCCGGCGCGCCCCCACGACCCCTTCCGACGGCCTCTTCGCATCTTCGCGACAGGGGACAGTGACCACCGAGCTGAGCTCTGCAGGTGGAGGGGAGTCTGCGCGGAAAACTTACTGTCGGCGGCGGCCACCCCTTGGCGGGGGGCGGTCAGACTCTGGAAGCACAAGCCCAGCACCACCAGCAGCAGCGCTTTGCTCTCCATCTCAGGGCTACGGGGCAGCGCGGGGGCGCGGACGGGCGGGCGGGCTGCGCGGCCCGGCAGCGGCAGGCTGGAGCCGCGGTCCCGCGCGGGGCAAGGCTCCCGTCAAAGGGGTGGTTGGAGCCGCGGCAAGTGGCAGGTTTTGGAGGAAGAGGAGGAGGAGGAATCGAGTCTGACGCTGATTCCACTCCACAGCTGCTTATGTGACTGGAAATATGCAAATAAACCTCATCACCTATTGGCTATAAAATCATAAGTTGGGGGGAGGGCCCTAAATTCACTTCCAAATATTTGAGCAAACTGTAATGAAGTTCAACCCTGCCAGCGAGAAGAGGGGGAAAGGGCAGAAGGGAAATTTTGCTTTTTCTGTACCGTTCCTATTCGCTTTTCCTAAGAGGTCTGGCTTTCCAGGGTCCCCTGACCAAGTAACAGCTACAGTTCCTGTGGATTTATGTTAAATACTCTGCAATCACCCGTTTTCCAAGGAGGGGAAGTTGCACTGTTTAAACTACACTTGGTCAACACTTAAACCCACTCCTCTTTTGATGGAGCCTATTTGTAAATTGCAGTATTTTTTTTCCACCAATGTCTCCTGGACAATGTCAATTTAGGGACCCGTGGTCACACAGCGTTGCACACCTTGTGTTTGCACAGTGTGGTAAGACTAGCATAGTTAAAATGGATTAGCTTGTGCGGTGGAAAAAAACCCTCTTGCTCTCTCTAACTAGTCTATCATTTTTGCCTCATGCAAATTATACCCAATCCTCCAACTCATCAAAGAATGAAAGGATATTGTTTTTATCCTCAGAGACAAAAAATATTGAGATAAAATAATCTAAGACTGTAGTGTTAGGCTGGGAAAGAAGTCAGTCACCAAGACACATACTGTATGATTCCATTTATATAAAATACCCACACTCAGGTAAATCCTGGAGATAGAAAGTAGGTTAGCAGTTGCTTGAAGCTGAGGAATAGGGGAGAGGAGAGAATGAAGAAGTTTTGGGCAGAGGGTGATGTAAATGTTCTTCTAAAAGTGCGTTATCACGATGGTCTACAACTGGGTAAACATTCAACATTGACCCATACACTTTAAATGGGTGAACTTTATGGTATATAAATTGTATCTTAATAAAGCAATTTTAAAAGGTGTAATGAGGTATGCAGGTAAAATAATAAGAATAATGTTGAAATCACATTGGATATTGTAATTTTTATCCAAAATGCTCAGAATACTTTTAAATATCTTTTTCAACGTAAAGGATTTGCATTCGCTGGGAAGGACAATTAACTCTATATTCTCTACTTTACGTCTGAGAAATGGGCTCATAAATCAAAACCTCCAATTCACTGTCTATATTGGATTATTTCTCTGAATACCTTTAATGCTTTCTTTTACTCATCCCTCCGTCCATCTCTGTCTCTCTTTATCTCACAAAATCTACATTTGTATCTAAGAAGAATGAAAAGGCCATGATTTAAACTAGACTCACATTTTAAGTTTTTCTCAAAAGTGAAATACATCTGAAAATATCTAAATATTTCAAAGTTTGTTATTCTGTAGAATAGAGTTGTATATCTTTATGTAGATGCATTAAATGCCACAACACACTATTTTTGTCTTGCATTGCTATTATTAAACAACATACTGTGTGCATTCTTCCTACCCTACAAAGCACATAGAGGAATTTTGAAACCTGCCAGGAATTAAACCCCCACAAGAACCTTAGAAATGGCAGAACAGACCAAGCAGAGAATGGATAACTATGATGTTATGTTCTCCCAAAATTATATAGTAAATCCTAACTGAAAAAAATAATTGACACAAGATGAGTACAATTGCATTGCGTGTGCTCGAGGTATGGATAGCTATAAACAGAAGCACAAAAATGCCTGATATCCTATATAGAATACTCATGCAGCTTATTTTCCACATAAATCTCATTTCCTAAGACAACAAAACCAATCTGCCTGTGATTTTCAGAGAAGTGCAAGGTTTTATGTAGTTGTTAAAGGGAAGTCTGATACTTATAATGTATATTTAAAATGATTTTCCAGGTTAACAGATAAAATCAAAGCACTCAATTTTTTTCATTTATGTTCTTAAATAATATGAAACCTGTTTTGTGGTGTCCTGTCCTGTTATGCTGCATGCACATTAGTGCTACAGAGATTTCCAGGAAGAAAGAACTCATAGCTGCTCAGTCTGGTAGATAAGGAGACAGGTTGGCTCTGATCCCCGGACAGGCGGTGGGCAGGTGGGTGTGGAGGCAACGCGCTCTCCTGATTGGCTGCTCTCCGACCGCTCAGGTGTCTGCGTTGGTCTGGCAGAGACTCAGAGGATCTCCGAGTACAAATTGCATGTGCCTTAGCTAAGCGCCTCTTCCAAACTTCAGTAAAGTTAGTTAATCCCTGATAGCCTGAGGCTTGACTTTTTCCATAGGTGACATTTCCTTTGTTAACTTGCTTAAAAAAGGTTCAGGTTAAAAGAAGCCATTTTAGAATGTTTCTAAACATTCTAGAAATGTTTCTTTGATAATCCCAAGACAGAAGGAAAATGTATTTGATTTGTTATATTTGAATCTTGTAATCACAAAATGGAAAAGGCTGGGAAGCAGATTTGTACATGAATAGTTTAGGACAAATTTTATTTTGTGGCTTTTTTGCTAAATTAAAGGATGATGAAATGTCTAAGTGGGCTCTAAAGGGACATCAGTACTGGGACAGGTCTTCATCACACACACACACACACACAAAATGTAGAATAAAAAAGCATAGCTAATACAAATAAAAATTACAGATACAAAATCATAAATATAAAAAATACTTAAAATTGATTGACTTTTAATGAGAAAAAGATGTTTACTAAAAAATTGCCATACAAGATTTTCCCGTTGCTGCCCACTCATGTCCAGCATTAAACTGACACAGTTTGAAGGGAGGAGCACAGGCTGCATCCTAATAGAGCTGGCAGTGTGCCAGTGAGCGTGAGGCTGAGCTGGGGCTCAGCTCCGGGGCCTGCTGCCTGAGGCTGGCGTTTCCTAGGTGCAGTTGATCAATGGCAATGCCAATCTTGCAGACATCTTCCTTTACTTCTTGCTCAAGAAAGCCATGTTGAAGTGTTTCCGGAGATGGGTCCTTGGTCTTGTGATCAAGAATTCAAGAAGGGATGCAAAGGCCATTGAGCATTAACAATTTATTTGGAAAATAAGGTTCAGAAAAAGGCCAGAGTAAACACATAGGGGTTGGGGCACGCGCAGCTCCAGAGGACGCTGTGCAGAGAACAATAGGGAACCGTTCTCATATATGAAAGGAGATAAATGTTCACTAAATGGGATTAGGTTTGGAAGGGAACAGGTGGATTCTTCTTGGAGTTCAGGCTTCCTCCGCCCTTACACTGGGTAGAGGGATCTTTTACCATACTTGGTCACCATTATGTACCCACTGTAACAGAAGGAATTCCAAGTAGCAGTTCAAATGAAGATTAAACTCAGGCAGAAAATGGTTCTCCATGGGTAAAATCTGGAAAAGTTAAAGTACAAATAAATATTATATTTATCAGATTTGAATAAAGGGATTATTATGCTTGGTAGATAGCCAGATAGGAGCAGGAAAGGGGGAGGGGAACTTCAGCTGGTGTTTGCATTCAGTTAGATACTTGCTTATATTCTACAAATTCCATGTAAGCTGTTCTTATGGGATACGGGATGAGAATATAGATAAGAGAATAGCCAAAACCATCTAGTTCCAACACGAAGACACTGACCCAAACTTCACCCCCAAACCATTGCCATAGTAAAAATATTGCCCCTCCATCATTAGCATAATAAAAATCACACCTCCCCACACCATTGACAGTTCTGATGGGGACCAAATACAGTCAAAGATCCGTCCACCCCATGTGAGGGTGGAGGAAACCTGAACTCCAGGATGACTCCACCTGTTCCCTTCCAAACCTAATCTCACTTAGTGGATATCCATCTCCCTTCATATAAAAAAGACTATTTTTCCCTGTGTACCCCTCTGGGTCTGCCCAGACCCCAACCCTCAGGTGTATACTCTTGTCTTTTTCTGAACCTTATTTTCCAAATAAATTCTTAATGCTCAATGGCTTTTCTGTGCCCACTTTTGAATTCTTTCTAAGAAGAAGACCAAGGACCCATGTCTAGTAACAGGAGCTTGGAACAGTTACTTTCTTTGCTTTGGGGGTAAAAGAATTATGAGGTGTGAGGAGAATCGCTTTGAATGATTAAAGTATGTTGTTAAAAAGCCGAGACCCATTTTAAAGATTTTAGTTTTCTTGAATTGGGGTTCCCCTTGCCTCTTCCAAAAACAAAAGCAAACAAACAGAAAGAAATCATCTTTTAATATTAGTATTAAAGGATTTATCTAAATAAAGTAAAGAAGAGAAATAAAATAAAATATAATTTTAAAAAAAGAGAGAGAGAAAAAAAAAACACAAAGGCCAGTGCATTGTCATGGCAAGTCCTGAAACACGGTTTTATTGGTGAGGGGGACACATCAGAGCATAACAGACAATCAGATGCAGTCACAGAGGAAGTGCAGCAAACCAGGGGGAGAAGGATGTAGGCCTGTCCCAGAAAACAGCTCCTAAACACTAAAAATCATGTCCCACAAATAACCCACTGGATTTAAAATTCATGTTCATTTAAAAGCAGCTTTCACCCCTCCCTTTTCAAAAAGAACCCCGCAACTTTAAAATCAAGTTCATGTTGTAAATCAAAGGAAACTCCTATGAGACCTAACTCGTGCCTTGAATGTGCAAGACCACAGATGCTTCTGCTGAGGGCTTCACATTGGCATAACTTCCGACAACTTCATAGACTGAAAAAGGGCTGCGACAAACACAGCACAGATATGTTGGAAGTGCCCCCTGCTGACTTCCTGCAGACCCTGTAACTTCTCAAAAAGCCATTTTAGGAGGCTCAGAATGGTTGACTGGGGGATCTTTAAGCTCTTCATTGTTATTGGAGCTTCTCTTACCTGTCCTGTTAAATTACCTGCAGTGTGAAGGAGGTACTCCTTCCTGCCTCTGGGGAACTTTCCACCGCATCAAACGTCCTGGACGTCAGGAGGTTCCTGGCCAATAGTTGCTGGGTGATTTAAACACTGAGTACAAGATGATCCGATGTTAAATGGAGAAGGAAGTAGGATTTTTTTTTTTAATTTAAAATC